TACCTTGTGGTGATGGTGGTACCTGGTAGTGTTGGTGATGGTGGTACCTGGTAGTGTTAGTATGGTGGTACATGTACCTGGTAGTGTTAGTGATGGTGGTACCTAGTGGTGATGGTGGTACCTAGTAGTGTTGGTGATGGTGGTACCTTGTAGTGTTGGTGATGGTGGTACCTTGTAGTGTTGGGGATGGTGGTACCTGGTAGTGTTGGTGATGGTTGTACCTGGTAGTGTTAGTATGGTGGTACATGTACCTGGTAGTGTTGGTGATGGTGGTACCTAGTGGTGATGGTGGTACCTGGTAGTGTTGGTGATGGTGGTACCTTGTAGTGTTGGTGATGGTGGTACCTGGTAGTGTTGGTGATGGTGGTACCTGGTACTTGCTAGTGATGGTGGTACCTGGTAGTGTTGGTGATGGTGGTACCTAGTGATGACGGTGGTTAGTAGGAGTTCCTTAACAAAGACTAATGAGAACTTCGTCTGCTATTGTTTTAAAATGTTGAAGTTTGCAACAAAATCAATGAACGTTAAGTCTAAAACCACTGGGTATGATATTTCTATCAGGATATAAAGACATTTGATGTCTCAATAAACACACACACATCACAGCCAGAACTACAAACAGCAAAAAAACACTACATAATTTATATTTCATATTCTATTCCTCGGCTGAATCACCGACCTATTACGTAATTAAGGAAGCTGAAGATATGAATAGTGCACATCTAATCCCCCAGTAATAACTCTTAGTAAGACCACGTGGTAAAGGAGGAAAAGTTTTCTAGTACCCACCACCCTAAACATGTTAACTTTATTTCCACCACCACGTGTGGTTCTGGATCAGCTGCGTAGCTGCCTAACCGCTAGTTGGCAGACAAATCCACCAAATGTTCAAGCAGGAAAACCCCGCTGTTTGTTGTACCCCCTTGTCCCGCTTTCAAAGCCCTTCCCTGGATCCACTCCTTCATGAATCCACTCCGATCAAGGGCTAGCTGCGGCACTGTGGATGGTTAGAACTTCTACCATCACGTATACTTCAAGAGCGTCAGCGTTTCTTCTAGCATTAAATCTACGTATGGTACGGATGGGTAAGAATTTCCGGTACCATGTGTGATTCGGGAGGGTAATGCTCAATACTCCAAGGGTTATACTCACTTACTAGATATGTTATTACAAAAATCGAAATGTGCGTCATCTACACCCAAAAAATCCCGCGGCAGCACAACGGTAAAATTAACCGGCTTTGAAGTTGGATGTTGCTCCTCTTCAAAGACAGGTATCAACCTCGCGATTGATCAGTTCTTTCTTAACCTGAAACCAATCAGATAGCTAGCCGTGCTGCTTTACTTTTGCTGTGGCTAATTTATTGGGTACAGAGAGCGTAAGTGAGCGTAAACCCTGAAGTATCGAAGATGAAGGAGGGTAAGAATTCTCAGTACCATGCGTGGTTCGGGAGGGTCAGAGTTTCTTACGTTTGATTGGAATGGTAAAAACATTTGCAGCGTCACGTGTCGCTCACATGGATATGTATTTCCATCAGCGTATATGGTAATCTTAGAACACAGAATTTTCTTTCGTAAAAGTTTATTGAGCAAGTTGATATTCAAAAACTAATTTTATTTTATAATAATTTTATTTCGCTTACAATGGGAGAGAACAGCAGGCTATGCCTTTATACGTTATCTCGTTTTACTCCCAAAGCATAGATGCCAAGCCTTAAGTTTACTTCGGATTTAATGTCATAATATAGCTCTTCTATGTGACATGTGGCTATTACACTTCTTCAGAATTTAAAAGATAACAATTATACCAGATAAAATACTAGGCATTGCAATAGGTGCACTGGGTGGTTTTGATTATTTATTAGAGAGACTATACGATTCTGAATCAGGCACATCTTGTTTGGTCATGATGCAGCAGATGAGTTCATTTTTCTATCAATCAAATGACGTTTTTACACCGTTCGGATAATGATCGCCAAGATAAAATAGCATGTAAGCTGAATTTTTATAAACGTCTACTTAAACAGATATGTGTACCTGTTTAAATACTCAAGCCGACCCATTCAGCGTTGACAAGAATAACGTTTTCTATTGAATTGGAATAGTTAAATTTTATCATAGGTTACATTCACACATTTGACCGGCATTATACAAAAAATACATTAACTATTGGAATTGGCGACCCTCGGGTGTTCCCCCTGGTGCTCCCTCGGGTGTTCCCCGTGGTGCTCCCTCGGGTGTTCCCCCTGGTGCTCCCTCGGGTGCTCCTCGTTGTATTTTCTGGCCTACTGATCGTATTCCCTGTGATATTGGCTAGACATTTTTTTTTATGAAGTCCGTATCAAAACCCATTTTCGCTTCGGTGATGATCCTGACCAGTTCAGTCTAAAAAGAAAAAATGATATGTCGGACATCGATTTTTCTTGTGCTATGTGTATGACGTAGTATTCAGATATATCATATGAAGGAAATTATAGTTTACCAAAATCTGAGTGATTGTTTGTGGCGGGCCAGTAAGGTGGAGGCACTGGGGGATTTTGATGATGTTAAATAATGGTTCGGTATAGTCCTTTGTCTGACGGTCTGCTCAGCCATAAATTCACTTTTCAATATCTTCCTGGAATGAGCAGGAAATGACCGTCTAGATAAGAAAGAAGATACAATTTCGTATGACAAATACAGTCTGTGTGTGCAAACGGTATATACAAGAACCAGTGTTAGGAAGTATGTATACGTCCATGTTCTAAAAGTATCACTCAGCGACATTCTATATCAAACAAAATTAATTTTACTGTCTAGTGAATTTTTCCTCCCTAACGTATTTATGGGGATAAAACCATCAAGCGGGATGTCTGTTCTTCCATCTTTTCGTCCGTTCGTCCGTTCGTCCGTTTACATTTCTTGCCCGGTTGCTAACTTCAAAACAAATGATAGCACAAATCTCAAACTTTGTATGTAGGTTGCCGAAGGTAAGAGAAAGAACTCTAATAAGTTTTGGCATAATCTGTTTATCTTTTTGGGGCATGGCCGCCCAAAGCCAATGTCGCTGTAACTAAAAACTGCAGAATGTTCCTGTCCAGATCATAACTTCAGAGCAATGGTACAAACATCAGGTTAAGAGTTGTCCTTGGGAATATGACGAATCCTATTGATTTTGAGTGTGATTCGTCAAAGGTCAAGGTCAAATTTATAAAATAAGAACTTCATAATACGAACAGAACAAACAATCCCACAAAGCTAAAACTAGAAAAGAACGATCAATGACGCGATTGATTTTTTGCGAACTTCATCAAAAGTCAATGGCATTGTTACTTAGATTAGACTATGTCCAGTGTTATTACTTCAGAATAAGGACCCCGCAAAGCTCAGACGCGATACGTGATTTGCCCTAGAGAAGAGGAAGAACCCTATCGATTATGGGTATGGTATGCTTAAAGTTAAGGTCACTGTTATTTAAAAAAAAGACGACATAAATTGCCTGACTCGGTACTAACCTTAGAACGAATGATCTCACAAAGCTCAGAATGTGCATGTTGGTTGCCATAGGGAAGAGACAAGAACCCTATTACATGATTTTGAGCGTGTTTCACTGTTCCTAAGAATACATTTTGTACCGTATCCTATATTTTCAGAACAGTTGATCGCACTAAGACTTGGTATATGATTTGATCTAGGAGATAACATACATAAAACCACAGTTGATTCTGTGGATGGTCCACCAATAAAAATGAAGCCACTCTAACTGAAATGGAATTTTGTCCCATCCTTACACAAGAACAAACGATTCTAAAAAAGGCTCAATGTGGAGCGGAGAAGAAGAATTATATTTATTTAGGGCGTGGGTTTTTTCAAAGGTCAAAATCATAGTTATTAATCAAATATGTTCTAGAACCTAACTTTGAGGTAACAACTTCAAACTACAATGTATAAATGTAATAATAAACATGCCATTTATAAGCACAACCTCAACAACATACAGGTATGTCTTCTAAGGGAATATGTTGTCACTTGAAGTTCTTTCGTTTAAGCGTGGATATCATGAGCAACCAAGGATTTCTTACTGAACAGAGCCTGATATATTACCTGTGTGCATGAAAAGTTCGTAAAGCAAAATAAAGAAAATTATTAACTCGAAATATAAGTGAATTACAGTAATCTCATGCCCATGTCCCGAATAAAGTTACGTCTGAGAGGTACTGTAACAAGAACTGAAAGATAACGTCTATACAAACATCACATTTTTTTCTGTGGAAGTTGACACATACAAGTATACTCTGTAAAGGTATATCCTGTATGTAACAAATTTAGAGGTCGTTGTCACACTGAATATAAACTTATAACATGGATTGGATTCCATTGAGTTTATATATTTAAAGTCATTTATACGGGGTAGGCCTATAGAATTTGTACCACTATATACAGATAGACTAGACCACATTTCTGAAAACCAGGGGTTGGATCCCCGATGGAAGAACACTAGTCTCTTTCCTGTTACATTAAAATGAATACGACATTTTTAGTAGAAATTGGTAACATATCTTTCTAACCTATTTAATATGTGCTGAATCTGAAAATGAAAGTGGCCACTTTACAGAGGAAAGTCATACGGAAAATGAAATACCCAGTTGTCACATAAGAGTACTTTGATATTCTGCACAAGACACTAAAATTGACATGATGGTAGGATGTGATTACAAGCTAAACTGGATATCAAGTAGTGGTTTAGCGAGCTACAGATGAAGACTGTAGGAGTGGTTTCCCTTTATGAAAAAAAAATCGACATGCATTTTATAGGTAAAACGAAAGTAAAGAAACTCAGAATATCTCACATATTCTGTATAAAATACAAGCTTCAAAGATGCCACGAAAAGTCCAGATTATTTAGTATGCCCACTTTAAAAGGGCGCTTAATGATCATATATGTTAAACCAGAGACCTGTGTACGTCTCTTTTGAGCACGCGTACTGTTAGAGCTCTTTTGTTTCGTAAGGTAATAAAATGATATGGCTGTGTAAACAAGTAGGAACTGACATGGATCTGTGCTCGTAGCCCGATTTTCTACGGTAAAATGGCATCAATCATATGCGATGTCATCGACAAGGACACAGTGCGATGTAATGGAACGGATTACATAGCCGAACAGATATTGACCTATCATGACGAATGGTTTTGGATATATCTCGGCATCTATGTCGGCCTGGTGCTAATGGCTGGTACGTCTAGATAAGATACAATACGGTATATGATACATTTTGCTGTTCAGCACAGATGGACACATGTACAATTTGCAGGAAGCATTAACACTTGACCCTGATATGACCACTATCTTGGTCAGATATTAGAGAGCGAGGGGAACGATCTACATGCTTTTTGTTTTGTATTTTTTAAAGCTTATAAATTAAGGGTCATTATATATATATATTACAGCATGTGTCTTTGTAGTCCTGACTTGAGCCCTGACCTCAAAACATTTACATTGTATACATCGTAGTTACCAATAATAGCATGACACGACGGGATAGAGAGAATATGTTACTTATCTTCGGTGTTCTTTGAAAGGGCTGATTTCTGCATACACTACTATATCATCCAGTTCGTATCAAGTCGTTCCGGCCTCTCCCGGTCCTGCCCCCTAGTTGTTCCGGCCCCTACCCGGTCTGTCCTTAGTAGTTACGGCCCTTTAGTTGTTCCGGCCCCTTAATAGATTCATTTCAAACTTCATAGGATGGTTCATTGCTATGAAAGCTCGGACAAAATTATTCACCAGTTATTTACGGAGTTATGGCTCTTTGTAGAATTGCCGTAACAGTTTCTGCTCAATAACTTCAGAAATTTTGAATAGATTCATTTCAAACTTCAAAGGAATTTAAGGTTCATTTCTATGAAAGCTTGCACAAGTTCGATAACCATTATCCGCGTGTTATTAAGGGGCCCTTTATAGAATTGACATAACAGTTTCTGCTCAATAACTTCAGTATTTTTGAATAGATTCATTTCAAACTTTATAGGAAGGTTTATTTCTATAAGAGCTTGCAATAACCAAAACTATTTGCCGGTTATTTACAGAGTTATGGCCCTTTGAAGAATTGCCGAAACAGTTTCCGCTCAATAACTTGAGTAATTTTGAATGGATTAATTTCAAACTTGGTAGGATGGTTCATTGCCATGAAAGTTCGGACAAGCTTGATAACTAAAATTATTTGCCGCTTATTTATGCAGTTATGGCCCCATGTAGATTTGATGCTTATCTCTCCAAAATTTATGCACATATGGCCCTTTGTGGCAAACTGCTCATTCTACATCTGACGGGCGTATCATGTACCGTCTCGCGGAACTCTTGTTAAATATGCATAAGATGTTGGCATTTCTCCAGTCTACTGGAAGTTCTCCCGAGTCTAGTGTTTTTTGAAATATTTTTGTGAGTCCTAATGATATTTCTGTCGCGCATTCTTTAAGGATTCTGTTTGGTATTCCATCTGGTCCTGAAGCTTTTGATATGTTTAAGTTCCTGAGTAGTGTTGCAACGCTGTTTGTATATACATATAGTTTCAGAATTGTTTCCTGTACACGTTCTGTTGTTTCTGGTATGTTGTTGTCTTTGTCGATGGTGAATACAACTGTAACACCAGAGGCAAAAAGATAACCCTCTAACTGTAACATCAGAGGCAACCCTGCAACTGTAACATCAGAGGCAAACAAATAACCCTCTAACTGTGACATCAGAGGCAAACAAATAAATTAACCCTCTAACTGTGACATCAGAGGCAAACAAATAACCATCTAACTATAACAACCGAGACAAACAAATAACCCTCTCACTGTAACATCAGAGGTACTCATATAACCCTCTCACTGTAACATCAGAGGCAAACAAATAACCCCCTTACTGTAACATCAGAGGCAAACAAATAACCCCCTTACTGTACAGTAACATCAGAGGCAAACAATTAACCATACTAGCTCCTACTTTTACATCAAAGACAAATTAGTGAAATAACCTTCTTACTGTAATATCAGAGGCAAACAAATAACTATGTAACTTTAATATTAGACAATTCTAATCATATTTTGGGCATTCCGTGAACCGTAACTGCTGTCTAGTCTTAACAAATTATCGTGGTTTGTAGGATTGATGTCCGGCCTGACAATGGGACTTTTGTCACTCGACTTGATGAGCTTAAAAGTAATGAAGGATGGAGGAACGCCTACAGAAAGGAAACACGCTAAGAAGATTTTACCTGTCGTCTCTCGCCATCATCTCCTACTTGTTACCCTGCTCTTGGCAAATGCTGCTGCTGTAGAGTCGATGCCAATCTTCCTGGACAAGATTTCTGACCCAATCATAGCCGTTGTTGTTTCTGTTACTGCTGTACTTATATTTGGGGAGTAAGTAGCACTATATAGCCTTTTGACACTCTGAACAAGTTTGATATTTTTAACAGAGAAACGATTTGGATTAATAGTATTTAATACAACTTCAATGTTTATACTTTACCGTGGACAATGTATAACTGATAGAGGGTATCACCTGGGGGGTGGAGACCCAACGTCTCTGCAAAGAAGTCAGTTCACTAGTGGTGGTAGGGATCCTTGGGTGGATACCTTAATGGTATTCAACAGTGCTCATCAGGGAAAGCAGAGCAAATGAAAATAGAAATGATGAGCAACACCACCGCTGTATTTACATTTTGTAACGGATTCAGTGGTGTTGTTGCTCATCATTTCTATTTTCATTTGATAGAGGGTATGTCAACATTTTGAGTCAAATAAGCTACTTTGTACTTCAGTAAATTTTTGTTGTCATGGGAATAATTCACTGTGCACTTAGACACCGGTATTTTTAGCTTGTTATTTACACCTGATAATATGTCTGTGTATTGTTTCAGAGTAATCCCACAAGCTATATGTACGAGGTTCGGGTTAGCCATTGGAGCAGCATTAGCTCCGTAAGTATTAATGGTACATATTTTAATATGTTAAAAATAATTTGAACTTTTTCAAAATTCTTTCAATTATACTTCACTGTGATAAACCTAAATAGAAAAAAAAGGATAAAAACAAGATAAGGAGAATTTGCCATTTCAACATGAATATGAATGTTTATAATCAAGTATCACAACTGCAGACATAGCAATGTCATAACTCTAACACAGTTAACCTTGATCTAGTATGGTGTCTTTTCTACCTGACTAGGCTGGTGTACTTTCTAATGGCTATTTTCTACGTCATTGCTTGGCCCATGTCCAAGATCTTGGACTGTGTGTTGGGGAAGGACCACACCACATTCTATAGGCGAGCCCAGCTCAAGGTCCTGGTCAACCTCCATGGTCCGAATGGCTCGGCTGTCCAACCTGAAGACTCATCTGAAGAACATCAGGGAGAACATCTCTCCATTGACGAAGTTCTCATCATACAGGTAAAAATAACACCTTGTAAAAGTTCTTATCATACAGGTAAAAATAACACCTTGTTAAAGCTCTTATCATACAGGTAAAAATAACACCTTGTAAAAGTTCTTATCATACAGGTAAAAATAACACCATTTTAAAGTTCTTAGCATACAGGTAAAAATAACACCATGTAAAAGTTCTTATCATACAGGTAAAAATAACACCATGTAAAAGTTCTTATCATACAGGTAAAAATAACACCTTGTAAAAGTTCTTAGCATACAGGTAAAAATAACACCTTGTAAAAGTTCTTATCATACAGGTAAAAATAACACCTTGTTGAAGTTCTTATCATACAGATGCGTGGTACACCGTGAAAAATCTCCTAATACAAGTGAATAGAACACTTTAATAAACTCTCATTATAGCGGGGAAATAAAACACTTGAACAACATTTTTCTTATTCAGATATTAAAATGACCTTGACCTTTATGTTCACAACGTTTTAATATCTGGGCAGTATTTTTTTGTGTGGAGATCCTGCTTTCTAAAAATAAGAATTATATTGTTTTTGTCTTTTTTTAGAAATGTGAAAAGTACTTTTAAGAGAAAGTAATATTTCTGGAGATTGCTATATTTTGGTACTTTCATAATTAGCTGCTCATCGAGCTCTCTTCATCTGACAGTACATCACACAAATGAATTCACATATATACAATAACCAACAATGATGGCAGTCTGCAGAAGACACATGATTAATTGACTACCAAAACATAGCTTTTATGAAAATATTGGCAGACTAACCCAGTGGTAAAACACAGTAATAGTTAGTTGTAATCCTGATAGGGTGCCCTGGACATGAAGACCAAGACAGTCAAGGTGGCCATGTTACCTCTGGACGATGTCTTCATGTTGAGTATCACAGACAAGATGGACAAGGCCACAATGATGATTGTGAGTAAGGGGACATAACTCTTACAGATACTCAATAATTTTGAATTTCAAAAATATCAGATTACTGAATCTTGTTTCAAACATTTGTCTAACAAAAGGAGTTTTAATTAATTCATAAACAGAACTGAATTATTGTGTTTTCTAGGTAGTTATAATGTCTTTGAAATGTAATTATAAACACTTCGAAACATATTTTATTTAATCTATTGCTGTACAGTAAAACCATGATATAATGCCCCTTGTTTTATTTTTCACCTAACTTACTGGCAACATATTTTCCCCCCTGTTTTATCTTAACATTCCTTTATCAATCAGTGTATCTCTAAACCCCTTTATAATGCCACAATTTTTAAAGGCAAATGGTGGCAGTATAACAGGCTTTATTCTACAATGATAATGTCCATAGACTTATTCAACAGTTGAAGATTCTTTTTTACATGTGTGGTAACAAATAGTTGTAATGTTTAATTGGTAATTTTTGATCACCTTAAACTTTTGAGGAACGTAAAATCACTATTTGAGTCTACAACAGTTTAATTGGAAAGTTATCTTCTCTGGACATTCTGTTCTATTTTCTTAACGGATATTGATCTAAAATTAGCTATACCATTTTGGGGGATTTTGTTTCAATTCAGGTTTGTATTCAAAATTGCAAAGCAAAAACATTTTGAATTTTTTCAACAGGTCATGGAAAAAGCTCATTCACGGGTCCCCATCTATGACGGTCCATACACTAACATTGTAGGGGTATTACTGGTTAAATCTCTGATATTCCTTGACCCTGAAGATGCCACACCCATCAGCAGTCTGCTCCACACCCAGGCAGGGAGGAATGTCATGTTTGTTGATGAGGATATGCCCCTGTTTGACCTACTCAATATATTCCAGACTGGTAAAAGTGAGTGTCACTGTTACAGTAAACATTTTTTTAAAACATGGTTAGAGTAATGGATGTATAATTTACACATTGAATTATCTAAAATGTATTTTAGGGTGGGTGGGTGTATGTGTGTGTCTAGTGGTAAATGTAACATCGTGTATACTGTAACTTGTATCTGTAATCGTAAAATGGTAATCTTTTATAAGAAAAACATTCTTTTCAAGGCATTTTTTGTGCTGACCCTGAATCTCTAAGATAGCAAAGCTCTAAATGAGGTGTCTATTTCCAGGCCATATAGCTTTTGTACAGAAGAATTCCTCCGTGGAGAGGTATGAGGACCACACTGATGATGTCCAATTATTGGTCACTACGGCTGAAGACGATCTAATCAGTGGTAGAACTCAGTCATCAGGACCAGTAAGTGGACAGATTATGATCCCTATATGTCCCAGGACCAGTATGTGGACAGATTATGGTCCCTATATGTCCCAGGACCAGTAAGTGGACAGATTATGATCCCTATATGTCCAAGGACCAGTAAGTAGACAGATTATGATCCATATATGTCCCAGGACCAGTTAGTGGACAGATTATGATCCCTATATGTCCCAGGACCAGTAAGTGGACAGATGATAATCCCTATATGTCCCAGGACCAGTAAGTGGACAGATTATATTTAAGGGTTGAAGGTAGTCGACATTATGATTGATATTCAGTGCTCTGATGCTTTTAGACAATACATAGCATCTGTACACCTTATACTTGGCCAAAAATTGCAGAATAAAATGGGCTGTAAAACTATACAAAAAGCAAAAGACACTGTATACCTTAACACCATATGCTATACACCACTCATATTTCATGTGGTAGGTATTTTGCACGCAGTCCTAAGGAAAGTCAGTCATAAATTCATTTGGTTTACAAATATATGTTTTAAGGTTCAATTAAAAATAATAAAGCTGTTGTTCTGTATGAGATAGGATTAAAAACAATACTGGTCAATGTCGTTGTTGTGAAAATAAGAATTTATGAAAATTAAGAAACTTACTGTTGAGAAACCAGATTAATTAGAAATTGAACTTGTGAATCTTTTTCGTTTCTTTGCAAGCAATGTTATATAACTCATAAAAGAAACTTTTCTCTCAGTCACAAGGTACTGACAGATCTTTTTCTATACATTATAATTTGAAGGTGATAGGTATCATTACCTTAGAGGATGTGATTGAAGAGCTCATCCAGGAGGAGATAATTGATGAGACGGATGTGTATGTAGATATACATAAGCGAATACAGGTAGCAAGGGCACAGAAAGCCAGACGAGACCAGCGGGTAGGTGTTGTGCTTTTATCAATTTATTGTAACATATACATCATGAACACATAGTAATAACTAATAATAACTCAATTTAGGCTTTTTTGAAAGTTTGTGAATAGATATATGATATATCAAAATATCTTGATCCATGATTGGAGATATCCATAAAAACTGAATCAAGGTTTAGGAAGTTTTATTTTCTGATTCGTTTTTAAAGTGTGGAGTAATATTGTTACTTGACTTGGAAGTTTTTGGTGTTGTTATCCATGTACTTGTGTTTAATCACTTTTTTTGGCTTGATTTTATTTTCTTAGTTAAATGTTTTTATTTATAATTTGCTTCCCCTGTATTTGCACTGGTATAATGTACATATATTATGTCGACTATTTTTTTTTATAGCCTATAACATATGGATGGGGATTTCTTCTATCCTGAATAGTACAGATTTTCAGTTACAATGTATGTCAGTGATATATAGAGCCACTCCTTGTGACAAGCTTAAGTTTGCAGCAGGTAATTATATCAGGTACTGCTGCCTGTTCAGATGCATTATTGTCATCATATCACCCTTCTCTAGTGTAGCCTGTTCAGATTCATTATTGTCGTCATCATATCACCCTTCTCTAGTGTAGCCTGTTCAGGTTAATTATTGTCATCATATCACCCTTCTCTAGTGTAGCCTGTTCAGGTTCATCGTTGTCACCACGAGCTGTTTCATCTTCCCCCATTCTACCCACACTTTGCGATTCCCTTTACACAGATTCTGCTTAGTCGCCAGGTCTCCAAGGAGAACCAGGGGGCTGCCTCCGAGGGGGTTGACCCTCAGGAATTAATGGAATCTCTAGACCTTGTGAGTTTCAAAGAAAAATTGGTTAGCCTGATACTCTTCCTGTTTTTTCCTTTCTTATTAATGGGAATGTATTCAATACAGAACTGTTTTTATTGTATTTGAAACTTTAATGAGTCATTTCTTACTAATCATTTTACTGATGGATTTAGAAGTTTTGTCAAACCTCCCTAACACCCAACCCATTAACTTGTACCTCAATATGAAACCTGCTTAATGCTAGATTCCAAACCTGCCTACCATTTATCTACTAATACCTCTGCAATTAAAAATATAACCTCACAGTACCTCAAATGGAATAGTACCGAAATTGGGACACATGATTAATTATACAGTAATATACCTCCCTTCTGAAAGGCTTGTATGACATAAGTATGCATGTATTTGCAGGATTGTATTTTTTCTGCCTGTGTTATGATGTTCGTTTCAGCTTTATTTTTGTTTGTCCCTATTAATAGTTTAAAGTCAGCAGTCAACACTGTTCAACACTTTTTCTTTTAAGTTCTGTTGTTTATTTGATATAACCATCTTTTGTAAGGCAATATTAGGTACATCAGCATGTGTCGGTGTATAGCATCACCACACAGGTGTATAGCGTCACCAAACAGGTGTATAGCATCACTACACAGGTGTATAGCAACCCCACAGGTGTATAGAATCACCACACAGGTGTAGAGCATCACCACACAGGAGTATAGCATCACCACACAGGAGTATAGCATCACCACAAAGGTGTATAGCATCAACACACAGGTGTATAGTATCACCACACAGGTGAATAGCAACACCACACAGGTGTAGAGCATCACCACACAGGTGAATAGCAACACCACACAGGTGTAGAGCATCACCACACAGTTGTATAGCATCACCACGCAGGTGTATAGCATCACCTCACAGGTGTATAGCATCAACACACAGGTGTATAATCACCACACAGGTGTATAGCATCACCACACAGGTGTATAATCACCACACAGGTGTATAGCATCACCACACAGGTGTGGAGGTCTGATGTTGTGGATGATGACATATTTATAGTTATAGTGGGATTTACATATCTACTTAAAATACAATTTAATTAGGGTTATCTGCATCACCAGAGACAGACATACATACATGTTTTATTTTTTATTATATGCCTTCTAATGCTAAAGGAACTTTTTTGACTGATTGAAGTGAATTAGATTAAAAAAAAAGATAACTTGGAGATGTGCATAAAGTACTTTTCATTGGGTTATCTCCCCTTTTCAAGAAGTTATAGCCCTTGGTTTGTTTACCTTCTCTAGACCATGACATTGTATAGAAAATGCAAGAACTTTTTTAATTTTGTATTCAATTCCTTCCAAATTTGGTATGGTAATACTAAAGCAATAATATTTAACATATGTTACAGTGTTTTTGTCAGGTTTCAACTTTTCCGCGTTTTGAAAGGTCAAAGGTCACAAATGAATTACATGATTGATTGATTGGTTTTACATCCGCTTCACTACCGAATAGTTCGGTTATCCAGCAGACGGAGAAAAGAAAGGAAAATGAGTAGAAGGGATAAAGTATTGAGTAAAGAGTAGAAGAGGGGGATAGGTTAGAGAAGGGGCCGTCTATCCTATATATATTTAACTGTATAAGTCTAGTTTTTGTAAGACGGCTCCTATGCCTAATAATGCCTTAACCTAACACACGTCGTATAGTATCACCAAGTCTGGACCGGGAGTGAGGTACTGTGCCGCCGCCAGCTACACCAGCCCCTGTCTATTCTATGAATTTTGGCTTGTATATATAATTTGAAGTCCTTCTAAATGTCTTCATAAAGAGACCCTAGTTCTAATGGCCGAAAATTTGGAATAAAGCTTACACTATCCTCTGTGTCGGCGTTTATGCGCCTACTCTTTTTCGAAAAACTCAGAGGGATCTTTTTTTGTGGGAGATTGGACAGTTCTCACAAGGGCCACCATTTATGGACTGTTATGAATTACATTACCAAGATGGCTAAATATCTTGGAAATGGAAGGTATTTTGTATACAGATATACGTTAAAATATTGTAGGTATTTATGCAATCTACTCTACTGACAGTTTCCAAGGTCGTGGGGTCAAAGGTCAAAGGTCACGAATGAAATACATTACCATAGTTGCTAATTACATTATGTATCTTGGAAACAATAGGTATTTTGTATACACATATACATAAGAGTATTGTAGCCAATTATGCAGGCTATATTATGACAAACTTCCAAGGTCGTGAGGTCAAAGGTCACAGATGCATTATGTTACTGAAATGGCTAATTATGGCAGAAAATGGTAGGTATTTTATATACACATACCTTGGAGTAAATGTAGCATTGATGCAAGCTACATTCTGACAAAATTCAGAGGTCATTGAGTCAAAGGTCACAGTAGTGGTGTTTATTAGTTACCCCATAGATTAATAAGTACATTTGTACCTATAAATGTCTATAATTATGTTGTGATTTATTGGTGAACAAATTAGCCCTTCGAACAAAAACGGAATTGTGATAAAATCACCATATTTGACTGAAATATTTATGTCTCACTTTTTTTGCCAACCAAATATATTCAAAAAGTTTTTAAAAAGTGCAAAGAAAACTTAGACTGCTACCTTAATTCAACATATTCTAGTACAGTACATGTTCTTTTGAACAAATTTTCTTATAGGCAAGAAAGCTTTTAGAAATCTAAGTAATGCAGCTGACCTGCCTTACAGGACAGGGATTCAGCAACTTTCTCTTGCTTGATAGTTGAGATGTCATTTTGCTTTCAGCTTATTTTGGTTTTCTTTTTGTGCTAAACACTCAATCTTAATTGGGAGGTAGATATATAAGAGTATTTACATTGTATCATCATTATATTTTTGTATATTATAGTGGAACTGGGTATTAAAAAAATAATAAATTTTAAAAATTCAGTTTATAAATCCTTTTAAATATTTCTAACCATTGTTATATGTTTCCACAGTAACACACATATATATGTTGATTAAGACTTAAAAAACGTCTTCTGTATTACATTGATTAGTGAAGTCATTGTTTAACCTAACCTAAATTTTATTTAAGAGCTATGCTTGAGTATAACCGATTAACAAGATGGTATTTGTAAAGACAATACANTAGTAATATCAACAGTGACAGAGAGCCCCTTTTGGGGCCCCCTGTAGTATATACCTAGGACATGTTGCTGATCTCAGCAATAGGGAGTAATATCAACAGTGACAGAGAGCCCCTTTTGGGGCCCCCTGTAGTATATACCTAGGACATGTTGCTGATCTCAGCCATAGGGNACTCGATGCCTGCGACAGATAGTAATATCAACAGTGACAGAGAGCCCCTTTTGGGGCCTCCTGTAGTATATACCTAGGACAAATGTTTCTGATCTCAGACATATATAGGGAGTAATATGAACAATGAAGAGAACCCTTTCCCCCAACAACAATTTCGCAGTACGGTATAAACCTGAACAAGTACTTATTGTCAATAACAAGTAAATAATGACCCTCTAGAACCTCCCATTGTATATACTGTACTTAACATATGGATAATAACATCGTTGATGACAGAGAACCCTGCATGTCTAGTTAATATTGGAAGAACAGTAAAAGTAGTATTCCTATTATCTCTTTTTGATCACTTGATAACTCTATATAGCTGCCAAACATATAAAGGGAATATAAAGGAAAGGAGACCTTTTGTGCAAATGAATTGTTCATGTATCTCCTAGCTTGCCGAATCAGAAATTAATTGTGTCACTGGACACAATAGTTACAGGAGTTTTAACCTGAATCAACTAGTCCTAAAGGTTGTAATCTAGATCTATTCCTGAAAGATTTTAATTTGGATGCACTCCTCAATTTTCTAATGTATCCACTCAAGGTTTTTAGTCTGGAAGCAATCCTCAAAAAACAACCCTAGAAAGTGTATTTACAAGATTAATTTTAATTAGGTTGGATCTTTTCACACTTAGGTTAATTCTGGTAAGCATAAGAATCTAGAGATCTCCAACATAGGCTTCTCTGAAGGTTTGCAACCCTGAAAGAGAAAAGGAGAAAATGTCACACTTACATGCATGGCTGCTGCGGGAACGTGAAACTTTTAGCTAACTCTCCTTCCTCCCTACATGAAATCTTTGACTTGTCCATGGCATCGCACGATACTATAAGTTTTCTGTGTATAATAATTGTTGTGTGTAGGTGACGTGAATAGTATATGTGTGAATTATTATCTGTATTGAGTGATTTGAATGTTTTAAAAACAAACATCTAATCAATCAGTGGACCAAATTTTATTAGGATGTTGAGATAATGTTATTGTATGTATTACTGTGTACAATAACTGGTACAATTTCATCAATTTTTGAATGTACATGTATATCCTTTTCTTTATGTATCATATACACGGTAGATGATGCTATTTTTAGTATGTTCGGTATTGGTAAATCTTTATATGACCAGGTGTCAATTCTCGTTGATTAGTTCCTGTGTAGGTTTAACACTAAGCATATATTATATAGACTTATGGACTTACTTCAACACCTTGTCTATGGACTTACTTCAACACCTTAGCTTGTCTATGGACTTACTTCAACACCTTAGCTTGTCTGTGGACTTACTTCAACACCTTGTCTATGGACTTACTTCAACACCTTAGCTTGTCTGTGGACTTACTTCAACACCTTGTCTATGGACTTACTTCAACACCTTGTCTATGGACTTACTTCAACACCGTGTCTATGGACTAACTTCACGTACTTCAACACCTTGTCTATGGACTTACTTCAACAACTTGTTAATGGACTTACTTCAACGCCTTGTCTATGGACTTGCTTCAACAACTTGTCTATGGACTTACTTCAACACCTTGTCTATGGACTTGCTTCAACACATTGTCTATGGACTTAATTCAACACCTTATCTATGGACTTACTTCAACACCTTGTCTATGGACTTACTTCAACACCTTGTCTATGGACTTACTTCAACACCTTGTCTATGGACTTAATTCAACACCTTATCTATGGACTTGCTTCAACACCTTGTCTATGGACTTAATTCAACATCTTATCTATGGACTTACTTCAACACCTTGTCTATGG